ATCGATTTGCCCCACCCCCCCCCCCCCCCCCCCTAATTTAAAAAATTTTTCCATGGGGGCCTCCCCGTTTGGTTTTAAACTTTTAACTTTAAACCGGTTTTATCTTAAGTTGAAAAAGAACAAAAAAACCCCCCCCCCCGGTTTAATAATTTTTTATAAAAAAAAAAAAATGGTGGTGGGGGCCGGGAACAAGGTTTATCCCTGGCTTGGATTTTTTTTTAATAATAATAATAATTTTATTTTATTTTTTTCATTTTATTTTTATTTTTTAACTGGAGGGGTGACATTTTAGTAATTTTTAGCCTTAAATCAAACGGTGTTAATGTCAAATGTCTGAAAACTAACGACGATGACTACATTGAGACAATTTTTCAAGTACAGGGGGCAAATCGATACAATTGAGAGTAGAAGGGGTTAAAGTGGTATCAGCCAAAGTACAAGGGGACAAATCGATGAATTGAGAGTAGAAGGGGTAAAATGATATCAAACCAAAGTACAAGGGGGCAAATCGATGCAATTGAGAGTACAAGGAGGTAAAGTGATATCCAGTCAAAGTACAAGGGGTAAACTGGAATTTACCCTATATATATATATATATATATATATATATATTTCTCGGATTGTGTTCTTGAAATTCGATTTTGAATGCACTGTGAAAATGAGTTTGATTATGAGTTTGATTTTTTTTTTTTTTCCTTAGATTGGATCTGAAGTTTTTTATTTATATTCTTGGGTAAATTACAACCCCCCCTGAGGTATGGTTAAATTAAAAAAAATCCCTTTTATTATAATTACAACTACCACTTAACTATGGATATTCTTACACATTCACCCTTATGGGGTCAAGTTCAATATAAATTTCTAGATTCCGGGGAATATTTTATAGTTTGTACTCTTTTTGTGCAAAAGTGCAGTTTCTGATGCCCCACAATCTGATATACACAAGTCAAAAACATATCTCATGGTCCTCTTGCTTCAAAATATAGAGCTCGAATATGATAAAATGGGTATAAAACTGAGAATATTCCATACAATCTAAAAGATTCCATTAAATTTGACACCGCAGGGGAGGGACGTGTAAAAAAATTTATAGGTGAGGGATGGTTGTATTTACCCAAACTGGAGGGTTTTTTCATAATTTGACCATACTTTAGGGTAGTTGTAATTTACCCTATATTCTTTAATCGTATTTTCATACAAATATATTCAAAATAAATAGTATTCCTCAACCATCAATTTGCAATTTGATTATTCAATCATGTAATTAATTAGGAAATCAACAAAAATATTTTAGAAAATTACAATTCAAACATGTTTCTAACTTTCAGAAATTGCAAAATAACCCATAAAGTTTCCGACAGGTGTCCTGGAGCATCGTACACGAAACGTGTCCGAGACGCGGATACATTAAGTTTCCGTAGTAGTTGTATGTCTGCTAAACATATAAGTATATAAATTATGTATGCTAAACATATACAAATGTCTGCAAAACACATATCTCCTTTTTCATGTGACATATAGCTTAAAATATCAGCAAATTTCCTGTGATATCAAGCGTTGAAGTTTCTCTTGTTAGTCTTTCATAGTACTAATTTATTTCACATGTTATTTTCATTCTTGTATTTTCTGCATATTGTCCTCGTGATCGACGAAAACATAGTCAACACGAAGACCGTCACAAGAACATTTTGCTAAAATGAATTATGATTCAAAGTTGATGAATAATTTGAATACCTTCTCGAATTTTCCACGCACGATCTAGTATATATATCGTACCCTCATCGCCTTATTCTATATCAAACAAATATAACTCATTGTATTACACCATCTTTTATCAAAATATTCCCTTTTTGAATTACTTTTTCTTGCATTACAGAATTTTATAAAGCCCTTACTTTGTTACATTATCTTTTATTTCCTATTTTTGCCAAAAAAAAAAAAGGAAAGAAATGTCGATTTCGTTAGAAGCACTAGCCATGTCGGGAGCTAACTTTCTTGAAGTAGGATTTGATATGAATGAATGGGAACAAATGGAATCAGAGGTACCACCTCATTTATTAGCCGATGAAGAAGAAGAAAACGAAGAAGAAGAAGAAGAGAAGAAAATCGAATGGAATAAAGTCGATCATGAAAATCGAATGAAGAAGGAAGCCATCAAGAAAGTGTGTGTGTGTGTGAAGTGGTTTAATTCCATTAAGAAATGATTAAGAACTAGTCTAGTGAAGTGTGTGTGTGTGTGTGTGAGAGAGAGAGAGAGAGAGAGAACTATAATTTGTAAGCATACTTCTGGCCCCTCTGCCTACTTAAGCTGTAGACATTTTTCATACTTGAACTCATCTCTTTCGTGTAATTATAATTAAATATGAAATAAGAATTAAATGACTTAACTTCTCATTTTCTACTTCTTATTTAGTAATTATTTCACTTGCTATAATTTCGGTGTCGTTGGGATATAGAAGTATCGTAAACGAGTGCAAGAATATAGTATTTTGATCAAATATGGCTGAATTAGATTACAAAGGCAAAGTACGTGTGACTGGTGCAGCCGGTTTTGTAGCATCGTGGCTCATAAAGCGTCTTCTCTTGCCCGGCTATCATGTCACTAGCTAGCACAGTCAGAGATCCATAAAGCGAGGATTTTTTTTCCTCTAGTTGGTCTGATTGCGGATTTTCGACGGGGCACAAAGCGAGGCTCGATAATTGCTTCCGTAAACTCGATGGATATTTAGAGATAGTGCTTGATGAACATTACAATCTTGAGAGTACGCGGAAAGGCGATGATGATGAAGAAGACCTAGTCGACGCCTTGATTAGGTTGTCGAATCAAGAAAATGGCCTAATGAGTCCATTGAGCAAGGAGCAAATCAAGGCTATGTTAATGGTAAATAATTCAACATTTAACATAGGCTTTATTGCATCCAGCACCCCTGTATTTTCTTTAACTGTTAAAAGACCTCATATTATTCATTTTTTTTGGCGAACTACCCCTAAAAAGTAGAAAATCACTATTTAGGGGTTGCATGCTAAAAAAAGTATTATAAGGGGGTTTTTGCGAATAAAATAACATGGCGAGTTTTTAGCAATTCGATACAACACATGGGTACTAAATGCAATAAACACTTTTTTTTTTAATTTTATTATTATTAACCATTTGCTTTTTCTTTTTCAAGAACACATTTCTTGGAGGAGCAGGCACAAGTTCAATAGTAATAGTGTGAACTCATGAGAAAACCATCAATAATGCATAAAGTACAACAAGAAATAAGATCCAATCTTGGAGCAAAGCCAGAAGTGGAAGCTAATGATCTAAGTAAGTTCACATACTTGATAATGGTAGTATAAGAAACCCTAAGGCTCCATCCACCGGTACCGCTTTTGATCCCCCGAGAAACCACGCGCACGTGTCAAATACGCGAGAGAAGAGCGGGGAATTTTACGAGGTCTACCCAGTGGCGGATCTAGGATGAAAATGTAGGGTATGCCGATTGTGGCTAGTCTAGAAATTTACTACAAAGTGAGCTTAAATTTTCGGGGGTTTAGGGGCAGCGCCCCCGAAAAAAAAATTTGAACTTTTTTTTGTTGGATAAATTAGGAGAAGAAAAAATTTAGGACTTATTTTGTATATTTTAAATTTCGGGTGCACTAAATAAAAATATAGATATAATATAATGTGTTTTTGGGGAGAGGGGCTAAAAAAACATTAGGACTTTTTTTCTATTTTGAATTTCGAGTGGATTAAATAATAATATAGATATAATATAATGTGTTTTAAGGGAGAGGGACTAAAAAAATTTGAACTTTTTTTGTTGGATAAAGTAGGAGAAAAAAAATGTAGGACTTTTTTTGTATATTTTAAATTTCGGGTGGACTAAATAATAATATAGTTATAATATAATGTGTTTTGGGGGAGGGGCTAAAAAAAAAGAAAAATTAGGACTTTTTTGTATATTTTGAATTTCGAGTGGACTAAATAATAATATAGATATAATATAATGTGTTTTTGGGAGAGGGGCTAGAAAATTGAGGAAAAAAGGAATAAATCATATTTTTTCCGCACCATACTGGAATGGAAATCATGACCTCACCCATCTATTTGAGCATCTTTACCAATGTTTTTAGAACCGGACCGGCTATAGAACCGGACGACCGTTTGGGTCATGGATTCATAGGGTCGAACCGGTTTAATCGAATTTTTTTTAATATGGCATTATTTTATTAATTTACAAGTTTTTAAAAATATTATTTTCTTTATATGTTTAATCCCCACTTATTATTTTCACTTTTATCGACTTCACCTCACGTTTTACTATATTATTGCTTATACTCTATATTTTTTCATTTTTTATTCTTTAAATTCGGCAATCGGCCACCCCTATTCGATCACTCATGATCATATCCGACAATCCTTCGACCAATCATGACTAGATCCGGCCACCCATTACTAAATCTGTGAAGGTTCGCTCAAATCTAGCAACAAATAACCAACTCAGCGGTGATTTGAGACGTTTTGGCCAAAAATCAGGTTCTTTAACTGATTCGTCGGTTTTCGGGTTTTACCCGGTCGAACCGGATTTTAGTCATTTGACCCCAATTTTCGATTTTTCCAATTTTAGATGTCAGACCAGAACGCTTTATTGCCGGGTCACGGTCGAACCGGTCCGACCGGCCGGTCCGGTCCGGTTCTAACAACATTGATCTTTACCACTAAAGCAAACTTTATATTGTTATTTAGGGTGGTCCATAGCATACAAGTCCCCCCCGAACCGCCCCTGTGTCTACCCAAGACAAGAGTTTTGGTCAACGCTTGGGCGATCGGGAGAGACGGAAGCTTCTGGAAGAACCCTAACGAGTTCGATCCCGAGAGGTTCGACAATGATGATGCTAATTACTTAGATCACCTAGGGTAGTGTAGAAAACGAGCTGGGAGAGCAAAACGGATCAGTAGCTTGACAGCTTGATGATCCTGAGGTCCCTGCGAAATGAGCACACGTGAACTAAGCCGGGGATTGATCCGGCGGAAACCATTAGCCGGGGGTTGATCCGGCGGAAACCCCTCCGACGCTCAAGTAAGATGTACGGATCGTAGAGATAGTAGAGAGAATAAAACTCTAGATTGTTGGTGAATAATAGAACATACCTTAACAAATGAGTAAAAACCTCTATTTATATGTGTTGATTGGGTTGGGTTTATTTTGTTGGGCTCAAGCCTTATTTTGGAAGTGCTTGGGCTTTCGTGTAACGCCCAATTACTAGATAAATTGGCGGTCTGTTGAGTCGGCCCAATTAGGTATATCAGACAAAAACGAAGTCGACTATAGGGGGCAGCATTTCGAGTTCGTGCCGTTTGGTGGCGGTAGCAGAATCCGTCCCGGCATTAGCAATTCTATTGCCACTATAGAGTTGACTTTGGCCAATCTTTTGTGTTGGTTTGATTAGAGAGTGGAAGAAGTTGCTGGCTTGGAAGAAGAGGAAGGAGTTACTGTGCACAAGAAAACACACCTCACTCTTGTGCCTATCAAATATACTTGGAAGTGAAAAACGTCGTCGTTTTGGGGGGATTTGGTAGTATTTGAATAATTTTTTTTATTTGAATAAATTTCAGGTGTATAATTATTAGTCTCTGCGTCTTATATTTTATGTTTTAATTTGAAATGGTCTAGTATTAAAGTTTGTTTGTTGTCTATTGCAAATTTAAATTATGCTAAAAATATAGTTAATAATTTTATTTCCAAAATGTTAAAAAAATAATATTTAAATTATATTTTATTGAGGGCGTATGCATATTATCATTTATATATCATATAAAAAAAATTCTATCATCGGAAATTCTTACAAAATATATCCAAAACGTTTTGTATCAATATCTGACCAGATTTAAAATAATGTTATTTTAATAAATAAGATGTTTTTGAAATACAATAGTAATGTATCTTGACCCTACATTCTATAATTTACCTACAACATTCATGGAGTCACTCCAACCATATGATCAAATCAATTTCCATTGTGCATTACAAATGTTAAGTAGTATAAAATGGGCAACATTTTATCTATAAACTTACCAACCAAACGTTTCTTAGAGTTGTCCCTAAAAGAAACATCACGAATGATTTGCTGGTGGTAAATCAGTAATATGTATACATGCCATGTCTGTATTATGTAGGGTGATTATGAGAGCATGCTTTCTTAATCATTTCAAACTTTTTCAGATTGAATTTATTTTGTTTTGAATAGTTTTCTTGTAGTATCAGAACATGCACATCTCATAACTTTGTACAGCATTTCGTTCTTGTTAATATCAATTCTCTTATTCTGCATAACGGTATAATATTTTAATAGTTTAAGATTTCGAAGCACGTTGGTTAAATTTGTATGTCACAACGGGCAGAGTAATATGGGTACCAATTGATTTCTTTATTTTTCCACAGTGTTATGTATGTAATGGAATATTTGCAGGACTTACTTTGACAATGCATTTACTAATCTTTTCAGGTACATACATACTTTATCCACTACAAACAAAGGGAATGACTGGAAACACTCCAAAATGTAACTCTTGGAT